TATTCTTTGAAAATGATTGGCTATTATCTTATTGAGGCATGCATATCTGAAGCTTAAGTTAGTAACATTTGAAGATAGAGAACTAATTCATCAATGTCGATAGGAAAGCTAGAAGTATTTCTATTTTTTAAAAAAGGTACTTGTGCCATATACTGCTGGTATTCTTCAGTGCCATTTGTTGTCAGTGTGTTGATCAATGATGATATTTACTTCCTGTTAAAAGCTCTAGACCAGTGGTGGCGAACGCAGAGCCCTCTCTATCAGCACACGAGTCAAGTCACCCCAGCATTGACCCAGCAGCTGAGCATCAGATAACAGCACACATAGGGGCCATGCGCATGCTCAGGAAGGAGTAGCAGTGCCATGTGATGACGTCACAAGCTGCAACTCGCCTGAGCTTTCGCATGGCCAGTCAGTGTGCTGTCAAAGATGTATGTATATATATTTGCTTGTAGTGGCTATGAGTTGTTTTTTCTAAACTAAAACCTCAGTATTCAGGTTTTATTAAAGTGTTGTCACTTTGTGATAAATAAGTGGGTTTTGGGTTGCAGTTTGGGCACTCGGTCTCTAAAAGGTTCACCATCGCTGCTCTAGACTGATCTGCTCTATAAATTCAAAAACATCCTGAATATTTAAATATTCTGAAGCACTTCCAGGCAACAAAGTATGATGCAGGAAGGTCTGGGAAGACACCTGAGGACAGAGGGACTGGAGTGGAGACTCAAAAACCTGACTGGAAAACACATAGTTTAGCTGTATGGGAATTAAGCCAAGTCCCCTCCCTGGCTGGCACACTCCCTCCTTTTCCATTCTCCTTCCATGTAGCCTGATGGAGGAATTTGGAGGAAAAATTGCTTTCATTTTTGCTTTGAGTTATCCACTATTTCACATTTCATATGAACTGGGAATTGCAGGTAATACTAACTAGGGTTGGTTTAAATAAACCAGCTCAATAAACCATGCTTTGAAATTGCCTTGTTCTGCAATTGACCAGTGTTAGTGCTAAGCTACAGTTTCTGGTTTTGAGGAAATAAGAAGCCACAGTTAACTAAAAGCAAAAACTTCTGACTGTGAAGATGGGGCATCTCAGGGCTTTCCTAGAAGAGGCTTTTAATTGCTGTATCTACTCTCAGTTTCATTGGAACACTGAGATCTCAGCACTATACCAAGATCTTTCCCTTTCCTTTCCAGCTTTTCTGTTACTTAACTTCTAGGTGGAACTGTGCTGTACTGGAACAGCTCAAATACAAAAAGAGAAATAGTGCCATTTCCCCCATTTTAAATTAAAACCCCATATTCCCCATTCTAGAGAGGAAATTGGCAAAGTGCTGACCAAAAAGAAGCAAAAATGGAGGATCATGATAACGTATAAAGAAACTGTAAATAACCATGAGTAAGGAATCATGAGTGCACGATAAAAGCTTTGTGTGGCATCTGGGAATGGGGAAGGGGGCCGCCTCAGTCACAAAGCACTGAGCCATGCTTTAGTGTTACATCTGCATCTGGCCAATGTCCATTTAGAGTCAAGCGAGCTGTGACACGGAATCTCCTGTGACTGCATCTCCGGAAGCAGTCCCGCCTTGCAGGTCTGCAGGGCCCTGAGCTGGATTGGGGTCACCTGGTGAGAAAGGGGGGGCTAGCACTTTTTCCCCATGCAGAAGTCCTCTGGTATGAACTGCAAAGGAGACAAGCACCTGCCTACAAGTTTTGTAAAGAAAAATGGAAATGTGAAAATGTCACCTTAGAAGACCTTGTCTGCAAGCTCTGTAGGTAGACAAGACTGTGGATACAACTCCCAGCATGTCCCACAGTGAAAAGTGCTCTTTTGCTGTTCTTCTTACTGTGTTCCTTTTTGTATGCTGCTTGTTCCTACTGAAATAAAAGCACTTCTTGTTCTGTCCAAGGACAGCTAGTCTCACTGCCTAGGAAGCCCTTCTAGGTGGGGCTTCATTGAAGCTCTGGCCCAGTATTAAAGATTAGCCACCTCCTCACTTCCGTGAGCGCACCGCTCTCTACGGCAGTAACAACAACCATGATGAGAGCAGGAAACTTTCAGAACGCGAGTTTTTAAGCCCCAAATAGCCTTCCAATATGCAGCTAAAAGCCCCAAATGGGTGTGCTTTAGCTGCTGTGGAGTTAGCTTCAGTTAGTTGCAACTAAGGTCTTGTCATATTCCTGGCAAGCACTCCAGAGCTGCCTGGTTCTTCTGTGTTTGCCAAGATATCTTCACCTCATCTGTAGTGTCATATTCTGAAAACATGTTTTATGCTCATCTGGAGCTAACACGGCATGGAGAAGATTTTATCTGCAATTGCACACAGCAGGACTGCTCGCCATATCATTGGCGATGAGGCAGATCAAGGTTTGGTGTCACATTGTTCACCACAGGTCTGTGCACGTACACACAGAATTTTCCACAAAGAACTGTTGAAAATTAAACGATTTCCAGCTGGTGGTTTTCTCAGATGGATGGCTTTGAAAAGACCCACATGGTCCAAATTTAAACATTCTGAAGTCCCCAGATTCTGCTGAGCTGCTACCATGCTTTTAAATCTTATCAATCTTTTCCCTTCAGTAGATCCTTCCTTGATCCGGGCACTCTGGTACAATTCTACCCTTGATGTTGGACAAATGACTGTACAGTGCTTTTATCAGATTCAGAGAGAACATGCATCTGAAAGGGATACAAATGCAACTGCTGTAGCCTGGTTTGTTCACTGTTGATTTAGATGAAGAGGTGCACAGTGCATTAATCCAATTTAAAGAGAAGGTGTATCTGGAGGGAAAGCAAATACCAGGGAAGGCAACAGAGCATGTCCCCCTGCTAATAAATTTTGCTTTCACTCCCAGCCCATGAAATCTCCCCCCCCCTTCTTTTGCAACCTATAAATGGTGTCATGAAATGGATTCAGTCCAGTTTATATATCATCATTGCAAGGTGTGTGGGACAGCTAGCAACGTCCAAAAATTGATAAATGCCTCCTTAAGATAAATTGTTTGAATGAGGTAATCAAGCTTCTCCAGAAATCCTCCTTGAACCTTTAGAATTGTACTGGAGGGATGAGAACCACCAGCCCATGGGACTAATCCAGTCCAAGAAGGTTCTTCCTCTGGCAAGTAGGGCTCCTTGGGTTCCTCCAGGGGACAGAACTTGATCTCAAACTCCAAGAAAAAATGGGTGGTAGAGAGGATTATGGGGTGGGAGCGGGGCCAGGCCTCAGCTATTGGCATTATCCAGGCCACAAAGTGCCCGGTGGAAGGCAAATCAGTCCTCCCACCACTACCAAAGCATTTTGCACCACTGTTGCATAGGCTGGTTGCAGCTCTCACCTCTTGGAGAGCATCAGTGATCCGGGCCCATCTCATTCTGGCTTCCAAGCTGCTTTCTATCAAGCACTGCCCAGACCCAGACCCTGCCTATTACAGACAGGTTGCTGCTTCATGAGTCTTCATGACTGCAGGTTTCAAATTGATTATTTTAATTGATGTTGACAGCCATTCCATGAGCTGTTTCACTAATACAACTGACCTAGAAACGTTGTAAATAAATAGCTCATCTGGCAATATTTCTTTCCCAAACTAGTGTCACCAAATGCATTATCAACTTTCTCACCTCCCCAGCTCTTGAAAGATTTTAATACTCTTAAGTATATTGTTAAGCTGCTTTCATAAACAATCTTCTTTCAGATTTCAATTATTTTGCCATAGCAATTAACAAATGTGTTGAGTTGGAATGGCAGATCTGAGCAACTTTTCTTTTCATCAGACTTCATAAAGTCATTTTACAGTTATAGCAAATTAATTTAAGCCAATAATTCATTTCATCTGACACAAAGAATCCATCCAGACTTCTTTTTCTGTGTGTAGTGCTACACTGTGCAATACACCATCACAATGCCTTGTTTTATGAATGAATGATATGTTGTAGGAATGGCTGATGGATTTGTTCATGTCACATTTTAATTCAGATCTGCCTAATTTGTACTTTCTGAAGGACACAAGCAGTCTGGACTTGGTGCACTCAACTCAATCAAGCAGAAGAAGAAGGAGTGGAGTAAAACTTTTGCATTCTCAAGAATAGCTCAATCACAAGCAAAAGGGAAATCAACCCACAGCACATGGCAGAGCCTCCTTTTATACCTTTGTTGACCAGGTAGAGAAGACAGATGTCAATTGGTTTGAATTTCCCACCGTGTGTGCTGATTGGCACATTTGAATTCAGGTGGTTCTTGCACTTACCTGGGAGGCTAGGCTACCTGGTGGTTGGGCTGGGAGCTCTGGCAAGGAATTTCTCAATCCCCGGGTATGTGGATGGCTCCAGTTTCATAAATAATGCCTGGGGACTTGACTAATCTGTCCAGGCTTAATGTTAGCTAGCCAGGTATGTCCTACATTCCTAAACCAGTATGCAAACCAAAACACAGTTATTCTTTGGTATCTGCTTTCTCTGAATTTTGCAATACAGTTCTTCAATCCAAAATGTGTTTATGATGATGAGGATGATTATATTATTAGTGAAAATTATGCAAAATGCACTAATTTAGGGGAAATTGTTTGCAAAAATATATTGGTGATGTAAAATGCATATATTAAGAAAAATACACAAAAATGCATACAAAATTTGTACAGATTCATGTGTGTGAGAGAGAGAGAGACAGACAAAGAAGTAAACTGTTGTGGAAACAGGATGTAATGAATAGCGGTTCCATCTGGCAGTTTTTAGAGCTGGGACTGAATGATCTTCCATGCTTCCCCCTTTAGATGGCCATATGTATGATTCCAGTTGTGAAGCACATACTTAACATCTCTCTTCTCACCCTGCCCCACCATTCCATGCTTTACAACTGTTTCTATACGCCTGGTTTGATCAAGCAACTGCCCCCCCCCAGCCTGTTAGCCAACCCTGATTAGAAAGAATATTCTGTACATGTGCAGTTTTACATAATAAACCCATATCATAGCACCAGTCTGATACAAAGAAATAAAATGCATATTGCTTCTGCTGCCCTCATGCTGAATATATTTGTTTGGGAACAAGCATCATTTTGATGTAGAAAAAGATTTTACATACGTACATAAGAAAAATGTAGAATAAAATTAGTGTCTGTAACCATGCACAGTCCCAGCTGGCTGTCCTAAAAAGAACCAAGCAAGGATGCCTCAGGATAGGAGCACTGCTCTGAGCCTCTTTGCCTCACCCCATCATCTGTCGCACTTCGGTGGCCATCTCGGGAGAGGGGGTAGCTGGATTTTGACCCCAAAGTCCAGATGTAGCTGTGCCACTAGAAATGAATTTAAGAGTGGAAAAATGAGAAACTTACAAAATTTGTACTGTGGTCACAGGCCAATAAAAATAAATAGAACAAAACCAATAAAAGCTAATGCAATAGTAAGACAATATAAGAGCACAAATTATATTACAGAGGAGCCAAACAGGAGTTCTTCCCAATAAAAGGATAAAAATAGCTTAGATTCCCTCCCATCCCTAAAACAGCAAGACGGAAGAGTGGCAAGAAGGTCTTCCAGGTAGAAAGCTTATCAATGACTCCCTGTGCAGATTGCTGTATAAAGTAATGTGTCCAACAGACTCTGATGTTCCAGTTCCACAAGGACCAAGTCAAGGACAAAGCAGAATCTTGTTGAGTCAGCCAGTTAGCAAACCAAAGGCAGTGCACTGAATTAAGCAAGTATGAACACTCTCCTATATTTGTAAACCATTGATTTGTACAGGTACGGGGCTCTGCCAGTTCCATCATTTGAAAGATTTCTTAAGGATTGTGAATAGCAAGACTTAGCAGCTGCAAATATAGGTCTTCTAAGCTCCAGGCAACAGTTGGCCAAAGCTCCAGGGGCATTTTAAGACACCGAGCAGCTGAATTCATGTTGCATGTAATGGGAGGAGAAGACAAGTAGAGGATAGACCTTACATTGTCTGTTATTATCCCCTGCATCTCAGAAAAGGTGACTAATACATCAGGAAACCAGACTTTGGAACAAGGACTTCTCACCCCAGTCCGGTAGGCTGTATGATGAAGTGCATATTCTCTCATTTCATTGGCTGCGGTATGGGGTGGGAGGGTGTACTTTATTGCAGTACAAAGGCTGCATTTGTTTTCAAGTTTATGAAATAAAGAACACAACACTGTATAAGCGCCAACCTGTGCTAATATGAAATCCAAGTTTATGAACTGGGTGGCATTTCTCCATTTTCTTGTAATCTGGAGTCTACTGGAGGTATTATGAGCTTTGAATGCATTCAGTACGAGTATGAACATGCCAACAAATGAACATGCCAAGGGTTGATAAGTGCTGGACTCCACCAAAGGGAAAAAAGAGAACAAGGGAGGGCAGAACGTAAACAACAACACATATTTGGCTAGCTTTTTTTTTTAGGATAGTAAAATGGGTTGTCACCACTAGGGTAGTAGTGGTAGAAATATGTATGCTTTGGGCTCTGGATGTAAATCACAACAATGTGTCCAGACATCCTATACATGTTTAGACAGGGAAAAAAGCCCTTGCTGGCTGGGGCATGATGGGAATTGTAGGACATTTTCTGTCTAAGCATATATAGGATTGTGTCCTCAGAGACCCTACAGAGCAGCAGTGTTTGAGGGCCACTTAGAGGATGTTTCAATGCTGCAGCTCACAATTCTGCCCTGGAGGGGCTCCATTTTGCATGCTTGGAGAAGAGAGGGGCAAATCTGCCAATGTTTTATTTATTTATTTTTGGATTTATAGCCTGCCTTTTTCCTACAAAGGGCTCAAGACAATCTCTCCTCCTCCATCTTATCCCCACAACAACAACCCTGTGAGGTAGGTTGGGCTGAGAGTCTGTGACTGGCCCAAAGTCACCCAGTTGGCTCCATGGCTGAGCGGGGACGAGCACCTAGATCGCCTGAGTCCCAGTCCCGTGCTCTTAACCGCTACACCACACTGGCTCTCCTAACCACACCGGCTCTCCAGTGCAAACCAACCACAATGTTGGTTTTTATATGTTTTTTCCAAACCTGAGGTCAGACCACTTGAGTAAAACTTTCTTTATTACAAAAAAGCAAGCTGAAATCCTGACCCTGCAGTTGTTTTGAAATTCTGGAAAGCAGCCCTGAGCTGTTTTCTCTTACTTATATTCTAGATTGGCTGGCCTGCTATTCAGAGGACAAGAGTTACGCGGGTAAGTGACTTACCTCCTGGATTTTTGCAGCTTCTCACAAGCTAGAAGCATAACAAACTGTTCTCATGTTGTGTGGTTTGAAGGAAATGAATGGTTGATCAGATGCACTCCTGATGTTTGGGTGGTGTAGCAGGTCATCCAGCCCAATCTGGTCTCCAGGTTTTCTGGGTAGGGACTGAGGCCAACGGGAAAAATTCATCACATGTTATGAAAGGGGCCTTTGGGTGGCCCAGGCGTTATGTTAAACAACTACCGTACTTGACAGAGAAGTATGTTTGGGTGTGGCTTCCTACAGGGATTTTACAAACAGAGCATGTAATCAAAGATGCAATTAATAACCCTTACACAGGATGTAATTATATGTACCAGTTACCCTGACTAAATAGATAGAAGAAGACTGGGGCATGGAATATTTTATAGAATAAAGCTTAAAAGAAAAAAAAGACACAGCAGCAAGAACTTTTCTTCAAAATACAGGCTATTTTATGATGCCTAGCAGCAAGGGAAGGGGACACTTCATGTACCCCAAGCAAACATAACCTCCGTGCCCGAGAAGGACGGAATGGCTATACCTTCTCAGCTGAGAAGAAAATGAATTTCCTGCTCTTCCTGCTGCCAAGGGTGGGGAGGTGTCCTTTCTTACAGTGGACAGTCCTCTATTTTAGAGACCTAGCTGTGATCAGTCTTCTAGTTGAAAGTATCGTCCCTCTGAGATGACCCCTCCAAATCTACCTGAAGCTCAAAGCAGAGGCCCTGAAGGTCTCCATCACCAGGTAGCATCTAGAGAGCAGACTGCACTGTCACCTTGTCAGTCTTCTCCAGTACAGTGAGATGTACTGCATTTCTGTAAGTTACAGTTAATATTTCAAATTAGTATCTATGCATATCAATGTTTGTAGTTGTGCATGCCTTGTTTGTCTGCCTTTTGCTGTCGTTTTGTCTTCCTTAAAGCATGTCTGTGTTTGAGAGCATTTTCCCCTTACCTTTAATGTGATGGTTCTCTGTGCATCAGGTGGTGAGCGGGTTGGGTGGAGTGTGGTATATTTATGATTTATTTCGAGCTGTAAACTGAATATGCTTTCCACTTATTTTCACCTTACATTTTGTTGCATTGGGTATAGGCGCACCTATACAGCAGCACTATTTCCAATCACTGATCCTCATAAGCTTTGGCAACAGCTGCCAAAAGCTGTGGTTGCATTTGCCTGGCATTAAAAGGAGAGATGTTGTGCTCCAGTCTTATTTCCTTGTGTAAATACCACCAGATGTGCACATGTATACATCACAGTCACTTTTTAAAAAAAATTGACCACATGCATGCAAATATGGTGGATAATCTAAAATCTCACATAATGAGCAGGTTCTACTGGGATAAAAGCAATGCAATGGAGGGCTTCACAGGTTTAAAAACAATGCAAACTTTTCTAAAAGGCAGACATGCTTTTAAAAGAAAGAAAGCCACTCTGAAGAGTGAGTGAAATATTTTGTTGACCTCTTTGGTGCAACACCTTTATCAATATAAATCAACTTTTAATACTTTGAGAACTTATTAACCATTTACTCCCCTAAGCTACCAACTAGTAAGAAGTAGCATGCATTGCTTCAATAACATAGGAAGTAATGATAGTGCTTTATCATAAGCAACACAGCATGCCTGTGAGCCAGTATGTAGCATCAGCAACCTCAGAATACTTCAAAGCCCACCATAATCTGTGCTATTGCTACATTTTACCACACATTTAAAAAACAGACAAACTTCTCTGCATTTTTCACTGCTAAGTCAATTATTTGCACACACCTTATAAGTAGATTAAAATGGATTCTCCTTACACAAATCTTACATGGTGAATTTTGACAGCTAATGCAAAGAGAACCAGTAATGTTTAAATGTCATGCTATCTGCATGCCTTGATATTGAATAATTTGAAATCACACACATGGTTTCAGCTAGCTACTCGAATTTTTGGTAAATATGCAGATATCAAAACTTGAGATATAAGAATGTACTGGCTCTTTTACAAAAAAATCCTTGCAAAGGAAAAAGAAAAGCTGAGGTGATGCAGGTAAATTTCTACCATCTTACTTGTACTGAAATGGATGCATGCAGGTTACACTTACCAAATCATAAGCCTTGAAGAACATCAAAGGTGCACTGTACCTAGAAGTAACAGCAAATGGGTGACACATGGAGTCTATAAGAGACTTGAGGAAGTAAGCCAAGTCACAGTCTAGGCAGTTTAAAGGGTTAGCTCGTAAATTACCCCACTGAAGCAAGATCCATATTGTAAGCCACCTAGGAAGGCCTCAGCAATTATAGGAGGCCTATAAATATATGTAAATAAATAATATGCTAAGACTTTATTCTGGTATCTCAAATGCATGTACATAATCACCTGGAGCTTCATTTGTTTTGCAAAATATCGTTTCAGACAAGTTCAGGTGAGAAGCAACATTGGGCAAAAGACTCCTATGCATGCCAGGAGAACGACAGTTCCAATTGCCAGTTTGCTAAAGGTGGATAGAAATTTGTTGCACTGAATGCTTGGCTGCAAGCTGGAGCCAGCTGCTTTTTAAATTAAGCATAGAAGCCCCTACCTCATGCCTGCAAGACAGTGGGGTGGCGATTGCCACTCAGCATCCCCTGCCACAGGCCCGTTCCAAAGAGTTGTCTTTCCTTGGAGACGACATTGCTCCAAGAGGTGCTCGGCCACAACAGTTGCTGTGCTGCTGTCAGCCCAGAATGGAGATCCTTGACTTAGCCTTGAAGGCTAAGAACCTTCCTCCTCTCAGCTTCTGAATACCCAGGGTTGCTCTGGATATCCCCTGAAACTTCAGGTGACAAACAAACTTTTCTTTAGTTGAAGGAATCACCCCCGACATGTGTCTGTTTCCTGAATGTTACCAGTGTGCAGTGATTGAGGAAAAGAAACAAGGGGCGGGGGAAGAGCGATCTCCATAAACCAGAGGTGTTAAACCTCGTGCCTGCAGGCCCTCTGCTCCCTCATCTGGTTCCTCTGGGATTTCCCAGATAGCCATGCTTCCTCTCCCTGGCCCCATTCCCTTTTCTCTGACATCCAGCCACCAACCGTTTGGTGGTTTCCCTGGCTTTTGCACGTCTGTCCCCAGCTCATTCTTAATGCTTTTGCTTCATGAGGCTTTTAACTCTCCACTTACTGAAACTTTTGCTCTGGATTCTTTGTGGGATTAGGATTGGCTGCTTTACACATGTTTTTCCCAAGATGTTTCTTTCTTTGCTTTTCAATATTTTTCATTACACCACCACTAGATGGCATTGTGATATACAGGGGGGTTTGTGGCACCATTTGCCAGTAATACCAGATTTCACTCAAATCTAAAAAGAAATTGCCATTAAAATGGTTGCAAAGCATGGGAGAGGACCTGGTAGATGATGACATTGGAAAGCATCTGCAAATTACTCTGAATGAAGAATTAGGAACACACAATGAATGCCTCATTTAGAAAAGCTCCAAGATGGAAATGCACCTCTTGAGGCTGTTACTCAGGGTAAGAGCTTTAAGCTAAAATGTTCTGGACTTTAGGCCATGCCCCTTTTGGGTTTGGGCCCACACACCAATGGAATCTAGCTCCCAAGAGCTTCCCCCACATTTAATCTGGCCCTTGGATTGAAAGAATTTCAGTGACCCTACTGCAAACAGTTCTGTCTCCAAGCTTGACCAAATACTTGACACTGTGCTACAATGAGACAGGACATTCCATGTTGAAACTGGGCCAGTGACCAGCACCGGGGGCCTTGCTCAGTCCTTTCAGCAGCATGTAGCTGCCCTTTCCCCAGAATTAAGCCTTTATAAGGAATTGCTCCTTTAAGCTCAGCCTCAGACAAATTCAGAGCTAAGAAAACTGATGAAATAAATTACACATAAGAATTAAACATAGCAAGGAATCAGTTTGACAGGATGTAATTATTACCTTGGAATGTTAATGTCACCAATTAGGAAAAAAGATATTTAAATCAGTTGGAGGGAAAAAATACCTCTGATCAGATGTAGTAGAGCAGTTTTCCTCAGCGTGGGGCCTTCGGGATGTGTTGGACTGGCCATCGTGGCTGGAAATGCTGGGAGGGCAGCAGATTGCAGAAAATTGTCGTAAAGAAGTGGATGTGGAAGGCGTGTGCAGCTGGGGAAGTGGTGCCTCATCCTGTGTTCTGCTCTGGAGTGCAATCCAGAGCTGTAGGCATGCAGGGTCTCCTTTTCAGTGAGAAGTGAAATGCATCTCCTGGAGTACTCGCAGGCAGAGCGATCCTACCGGGGGCCATCCTCTGCGGTTCACGGACCACCATACCTCAAACCCAGGTGGCTTGTTGTGATCAGGGAGGAAGGTGGGGTGACTTCAAAGTTATACTTCCTCACCTCCTTAATGACTTGGATGCCACATTTCGTAAGACTCAGGTGGAGCATCCAACGTGCTATTCCAAGCTTATGCTGTTGAAACTTTGGCAAGGTTTAATTGAAAGAGGGTTTTCCCTCTTGCAAACAGGCCTCTAACACCCCCATCTCCTCATTCTAGTACCTTTCCCAGTCTTCTTGGGGAAACTGCAACAACTGCCCACATCTGTCTCCTCTACTGCTGGTAGGAATCATAAAGAAAGCAAAGCGCCTGTCCAATTCACATGTTCAGATCTATGTTTATGAGATCTGGGACAGGTGGCAGATGTACATTTATGAGATTCGGGACACATGGCAGCAGCTCTGGTAACAGAGGTGGCACGGATGGGGGCCACCCTGGCAGGCCACATATGACCCGAGTGACTGGGAATCCCATTTCAATATGAAGTCAGCCACAGGGAAAACCACAGGGGCTGTTGCACAGCTGACATCACTTTTAAATTCCCCACCATTGCCACACAAGGAGGTTTGCCATCTCAGTTTGCAGCCTGCCATATTGCCTGCCATATTGCCATTGATTTCAGTTGTGGGCAATCCAATGGACTGTTGTGGCAGGAAACACAGTTTTTACAGTGCAGTGTGTTGACCGCTGCACAGCACAGCCTGTGGTGGTGCACTGAGCTTAAGAATTGTTGCCAGATTCCTCCTCCACATCATGGAGACCATTTAAATGCAGAAACAAAAACAGGACTCTCCCATCACTCTTTTTTTCCTAATATGATCAGGTGCATACATGGGTCGTCTTGTCATTTGTTGTTTTCCTGACTATTCCCATTTTCAGTAAAGAAGTCTTCATAGTTCAGAATTCTGCCCAGTTTAGCAACAATACATTTCAGCACTACTCAAGCAGTTTTCACTGGGCTCATGTAACCTGCAGCACCTGCTGAACTGTGCAATGGCCCTGCCTTTGGCCGAGAATGGGAAAGCTTTCTGTCCAAAAACCTAGGCAGCTGCTGCATGTCAATGCAGACAGTACAGGAACTAGATGGACCACTGCCTAGTATAATACAGTTTCTTGTGTTCCTACGTCTGAGTCCATGTGAGGGAGGGCCTTGTGTACAGGACAGTCCTCCATTTGAGGGGCTGCCAGAGGACCATCCTCTGTTCGAAGGCATCTTCTATTTGGTGGGGCATCCAATCCAGTCCTGCTTACAAGTAAAGGAACATAAGGACTGGTGCCCATCAGCAGTAAGCTCCTGAACAGTAGGTTGAACAAGCTGGCCTACAGGACACTTGGCCCACACATTATGCTGAGATCTACTGAATTCCTGTTTAAATCATTGGCTTTATGTATAAATATGGCTCTATAAGATCAGTACATGCAAATTAATATTCTTTTTTGCCCTCTTTTGGGATCTGTAAGCAGCTCTACACAGAGACACTGCTAACTGTGAAGCTGTTGCTGCCCAATGGCACCAATTTTATTAGGAAGTCCAATCCCTTCTTTGGGAGTTAGTTTTGGTCATATCTGCAGCTGACTCTATGCAATGGAATAGCCTTGAGAATAAAGAGGTTGGCTGCCTCCATGCTTTATTCTTCCATAAGGTTCTTAGGTTCTTCCATAAATCTTTCTCCCACCCCCATCTGGAATCATGTTATTTTGTGAACATGTAGGTGCCTTCTCAAACATCCATAACATAACAGTATACACACATGCAGTGGAAGGAACCAAATATTTTCTCATGCTCTTTGGGACATTGTTGACTTTTCCATATCCAGACCTATATTAGTTGATTTCTTAGGTATGCCAGTTATCTAAAAACAGTTTCTTCCTAAGCCATTCTCATGAGCCCCAGGTTATAAATCTATGCACGTTTGACGCCAATGGAAAATCTGCATCGTGACTCCCTTGAGTGACTGAAGGGTGTGACAGTAACAAGACAGCGTTGTTGTGCTGCCTGTAGAGGAAGAGGTCAGGAAGATGGAGCAAGTCAGCCTCCCGCTCTCTCAAGCTGGAATGCTTGCCTTCATAAACAGCCATTGCATACCAATAACAGTCAATTACTTGTGGCATTTGCATTATTTCTTTCACTCTCACCCTCGTCTTCTTTGAGAACATTTCTTTCCAGCGGAATGTTTGCTCCATGATTTTGAGTGGGAAATCTTGCTACTCGGAAAAGTGGCAGCTCAAGGAGCATAGAGGGGATGGCTCCCACCTTATAACTTATCAGTATTCTCATCCAGTTTCCAGACAGTGGTTCAGGGAACACATCAGAGTAGCAGGATAATGAAACATGGCAGATTAAGTTAAGCATGATGCACTGCAGAGCCCCCATAGTCAGGAATAAATGGAGACAAGCTGTTTCCTATAACTGGTTTTTGAAACAAGGTCAAAGCAACTGTTTCCAGTAAATAAAAAGTCATCTTCTTGAACCTTGCCCCAGATTGAGACCAAGCATAAACTACTTTGGTAGTTTGATCATGCAGAAGGTAAATGGCATTTTGTTTCCCTTTTCATGAACCTGAACTTCCAGATTTTTGGAACTGTGAAATCTCACAAGCGGATGGAAGGACCACAAGTCCGGAGATTGATTCTTAGGAGCATCTTTAACCCATCTTCCTATTTTAATCATACGAATAGTAATTAATAAAACCAGCCATGGCCAAATAGCATTTCTGAAACAGTGAAGCACTGTGGTGCCCAAGGTACTGAGCAGGAAAAAAAAAAAATATACACGTGATAGAAGTGAGATAAAAAATATATTCTCATGTTAATTCCAGCTCAGCAGCTTTCTTAGACTCTACAAAGTTACTTTGATTTCAGATAATGAAATAAAGGTAAGGGAAATACTGCTGCCAATACAGCAAGCGACATATGGAAGGCTGGAGACAGAGGCTTTGCCCACACTTACACTATGTCTCCACACTGGATCTTTGTGGATGCAGCTCACTGCAGATCTGGGAAGCACTGGGGTCTATTTCCATCTGCTTTTCCAGTAATCTGTGAGTGACAAAACTCTGATCTCATATTGTCTCACTGAATCGTCTGATATTATGTTGAGTCTAGCTGGAAACAACCTCATCAATACTAAGTATTTCATTAAAAATAAATGATGATAAAACTGACACAGCTTAGTAGCATTTCTTTTCTTTAATATCCACCATTTCATAAGTTACTATTATATAGGCTGCAATCCTATACACACTTTCCTGGGTTCCAATGAACTCAGTGGGGATTATTTCTGAGTGGACAAGAATAGGAGTGCGCTGGAGCTATTTATATAGCAGTCAAATTTATTAATGCAGTTCTAATACACCATGCTAATACAACGGTACTTTGGCGCAGCTTTGTTGCACTACAAGCCGTGGCAGATCTTCCCTTCCATTTAATCCAGGTTGGACCACTTGTGGCCCTTCAGAAATCCTGGCCTGCAACTCCTGCCTGCCATAGCTAGTGTCGCCAGTGGTCAAGACATCTAGGCCGCCTCACATTGCCCATCCCTAATAACCACTGAACAACTATCTTCAGATAAGTAATATCAAATTCAGAATTCTCAAGCTTCCTTTTATGTAAACTTTTCATATTCCCAGCTCTATTACTCTTCTTTATATGTTTTGGAACTCTGATAATTTTGCCTTGACAACTTTCAGAAATTGGCAAAACCTGTTCCAGAATTTTGCATGACTGCCAAAATGGTGTCAGGATGCTTATAGAAACTTTCACTATCAGAAGAGATTAATTTAGCTGCTTAGCATTTACACATTTTACAAAGATTTCCAGGGAAGATGCAAGTGCAAGTTTGCTTTTCCAAATTTTCTCTTGGAAACACTGACCAAACTCCATGCAAAGGCCAAGGGAAAAGAAAAATCCATCCTGCAAAGAATGAAATATTCATTCCGAACCATCAAAGTTATTTTGTGTCCATACTCAAGAAACAAACAAGCAAACCATCATCTTTCTTCTATGGGTCAGTAGCCATCTTATGCCTCAATAGACATGATACACCACCTTACCCCTAACACTTTCCCAGAGTGCACATAGTTATTTAAAGTAGTATCGATTAGAAGAACCACTTTTTAGAAAAGTAAATGAATGCCAAGGCTTACTATTTCCATAGAAAAAAATCTTCCATTAAGATTTTCTGCTGTAAAGAATACAAGAGCCATTGACACTGTCATGAGATAGGGGTTCGCGCGCGCGCGCGCTCTCTCTCTCTCTCTCTCTCTCTCTCTCTCTCTCTCTCTCTCTCTCTCCATCTATCCCCCCCCTCCCCTTTTGGGAAAAGGTTTTGACTATGAAGATGTATTTCTTTGTTGTTACATGTAAATCTCACCATGTTTTCCTCTTGCAAGGATCCCAAGGCAATTACATGATTCTTCCCCCCTCAGTTTTATCCTCACAACTCTGTGAGGAAAGTTGGCTGAGAATCAGTGGCTGACCCAAAGTCACTAAGTGAGCTTCAGGGCCAAATGAGGATTTGAACCCAGGTTTCCAGATCCAGTTGTACAATCTAAGCAGTGTACCATACTGCGTGGCAGTGCATCCCAATGAGCTGGAATTTGGTACATCTGTTCAAAGATACCCCATATTACCAGAAAGCTCAGGCATACATGTATATCTTTCTTAAAACCCGGGACTCAAAAATATATTCCGCATCCAATAATTAAACTAGAATTTGCAGATATATAGCCCAAAAGATTCTGATTACCAGAAAAATCTGAAAAGAAG